TGCAGGAAACATACACAGTGAGTAGGACAGTATTTGAGGTTGGCAGTAGCTTTGTCCTGGTTAATTTTGGTCAGTCAGCAGTGGAGATTTGTTTTGTGGGTTTTTTTATGATGGCTTTTCTCTCTCTTCCCTGTGAACTGCCAAGAAACCTAAAGGTGCCTGGGTTAGTAAAGAAAAAATTCCCTGTCCTAAAATTAGGTGGAAAACTCAAAAGCTGTTGGGGTCCCATTTCAGTAAATCACGTAAACGTCGGGTGGAAACTGTAAGAAGTGTTTCAGCGCTAGTTTATGTTTTGGTGAAATTCCATTGTAGGGCTCAGGGTCACACTGATATGGAAAACATTGCAAAACTTGGGCTCTGTCCCTATCTGTGATGCAGACATTTCAGGTAAACAGCATATCACTTGCAGATACTGCATGTAACTTGTTTTGGAAATGCAAGGTATATTGAAATACTGTGTCCTTCCCCAAGAGATTCAACCATCCTTGTACTGGAACATTTTAGTACTGTTTTTCATGGAAATGGAAAGCAACCTTGGGAACTACATTTTTTGTTTGCCATCTATAAACAGAAGAATAAAAGTTAAAATATAAATTCTCAGAAACAAATAGTTCAGTCAGTGTTACTGAAACCCAAAACATGATAAGAATTCCCATCTTTTCAGAATGACACCATCCCAAGAAAGGGTGTGTTTTTTTGAGCATCTGCAAATAGAGTGGGTGGGAAAAGGGGATTATTTAGCATCTCCAGAGTGGGTTGATGTATGTAGAAAATATGTTAACGGTTGGGTGATGATTTTGGAAAACAACCTGTCTTTCTCCTGTGTTATAAACCATTTTATTTTTAGTTTGAATGCTTTTACGGAGCACTGCTGAGATGGAAAAAGCAAGCTCCCAGTCACCCTAATGATTCAAAACCAGTGCTTTTCATGTACCCAGTGGTAACTAGCAAGTTGTGGGTCCCTGTGTAATGTGCTCTCTGCACGTGCTTTTGCCTGAATTCAGCTATCTGCAAGGCATTTAAGAATAGTGAAAACTGAGGGTGCTATGGGCATAGGGTGCATGCAGTAAAGTTTAGGACACAGTCTGAACTGTCTTTAGCTCAGCTAGGTTAAGTTTTGTCTGCCCCTTCATCTCAGACAAACAACAGGTTTCTTTTTCACTGCCCTGGGATGATACTAGGGAAGCTTAACTGTTGCTGTTGTTTGGCACTCGGTCTTTCTACTGCTTCTGTAGGGCAAGGGGAGGGGAAACTAGAAAATAAAGAAAAGAAAGCAGATGTAGTTTCCATCTGTGTGCTGTAAACAAAGAAGAGTTACTTACACCTTATAATTTGTGTTGGAGGTGTTTGTAGGGTCCACATTATAAATTCCTTCTGTTTGTTGTAGAAATACATTCAAAAAATACTAGTAATTTTAACAGCCAGAAGAAATTAAAGATCTAATTTATTAACCGATCTTGTTGCACCAAAATAGTCACAAGCCTATTTTCTTGATTGAGCTGATATTCTAAAACAGATGTAATCTTAGGTTCCCTGAGCTTAATTGAACTTGCATTCTGAATTTTGGATAGCCATAACCAATTGCACCAATGTTTTTGTTAATCCTCAATAGTTTCACATTCTGGGCCGAAGATGGGATGAGAAGATATTCTCAGAAGATGCGATATTTAACATCACTACAAATGAAGATAATCCAAAGGTGTGTTTAGATCTCAACTCTGGCAGTAACTACGTGGTGAATATTACTACCATCTCTTCCACAGGCATCACTGTCTCAGTTACAGTAGCAGTTCAAACAAAGGGTAGGTTGTGTTACGTATTCTCTGTGCTCATAGAACTTACTGTGCTGCAGAGTTCACGGTTCTGAGTCTAGCAGACAAGAAAACAGACTGTCTCCTAGGCTTTGTCATCCTTTATGCTGACTACACACACATAGCCACCGTCAGCATTCTCTTTTTCTGCAAGACATTTTTCTTTCTGCTCACTGTGGCTGTTGAATGTGAGCAAGCAGAGCAGTGGCAGTGCCCTTCACAAAGATTTGGCAAACTTGCTTCTTCGGGATTTGTCTTCTGGCTGAGGCAGGATTGGCACAGTGGCATTTCTGAATGCTGTAATTTCAGTGCATAGTACAGTGCTTGCTGGTTTCCATTCCTTGCCATGAAAACTGATACCTGCCTGTGGGAGAATTCCCTGTTGCTGAGCTGTGTCATATTAATCTCATGTGAGCATTACAGACAATGTTCCTGTGTTTAGCTGTGATGAGCAGTGTTCTGCCAGTTTTTCAGTAATTGTAGAGAAGGCATGTTCTGACATCAGATTTCTGTAATATTTTGGTCATGGAAATATTAAGCTTACATTCTGAGATACTGATTCTGATGAGCAAAATTGCTTTTGGAATGCAAAAAAAGGTTTTTTTCTCATGTGCTTTTTCCTAAAGGGCGTCAACTCTGACAAATTGTGCTATGATAACTTTACTTCTGTCAGAAGGCCTGAACCCCTAGATCCTTAAAACCTCCCTAGGTCTGAACAAATAAATCCCATTTTGATTTCCTGAATTTCCTGCTTCAGTTTTTCCAAAAGCCGTTTTGTCTGGAAGATGTTCATGCTTTACTGTGTTTGTTTGTTCAAAAAGAAATGAGATTCCGCCTTTTCTCAGAAGAGAGTTAAAATAAAAAACTTGTTTCATTTTCAGCTACTCATATTCAATTAAGTTGAAGAAGGTGAAGTTTTTGTAATAAGTTGTCACTTTTCATTGTCTCTACAGTAAAGGAAGCTTTCAATAATGTATTAATTTTTAATGATACCTGCTTGAAGTGGCGGAGAAATGTCAGGGGGACTGAAGCGGAAGATACATACTCAGTAAGTGACAGTCTGTATTTTGAACCTAGAAAACAATTTATATCAATCACCTAAGTGAAAGAAGCTGTAATTTTTCACACACTCACTGCTGGCAGTGTTACTCTTTCTAATAATGCCTCTTATAAAAACCCAGGGAGCAAGGTTGCATAGCAGCCTTAAAAAAAGAAAGAAACCACCATGGTCTTTCACAGTCTCTTGTTTCTTGCTTTTTATTCCCCTCTCTTCTACTCTGTTTTGCCTTCTCTATCTGTGCTTTCAACACTGTCATGTTCAGGCCTCAGATAACTGCTGCGGTTTCAGGGAGTCAGTCCACTCTGCCCTGTGGCATGCTTTCAATCTTCCCATGTCCCAGCAGGGCATTTCTACAGGAACTCTCTCCGCCAGGCCACCTGCTGTTGTCTCAAATCATAGACTGGTTTGGGTTGGAAGGGACCTTAAATATCATCTAGTTCCAACCCCCCTGCCATGGGCAGGGACACCTTCCACTAGACCAGGTTGCTCAAAGCCTCATCCAGCCTGGCCTTGAACACTTCCAGGGATGGGGCATCCACAGCTTCTCTGGGCAACCTGTTCCAGTGCCTCACCACCCTCTCCAGGAAGAACTTCTTCCTGTTATCTAATCTAAACCTCCCCACTTTCAATTTATACCCATTACCCCTTGTCCTGTCACTACAGGCCCTTGTAAAAAGTCCCCCCCAGCTTCCTTGTAGCCCCTTCAGGTACTGGAAGGCTGCAATAAGGTCTCCCCGAGGCTTCTCTTCTCCAGGCTGAACAAGCCCAACTCTCTCAGCCTGTCCCCATACTAGAGGTGCTCCAGCCCTCTGATCTCCGTGTGCTAAGAGGTGCTCAGAGATTGTCTGAAGACATCGGATCTATTTAAAGGATTAAAATACAGCAAGCATTATAGATTTCATTAACGGGAGCCTAGGAGAGGCTTTTATAACTTCATGGATCATTTGGAACTTCATGATCATTTGAGACTTCAACAACAAACACAAAATCCAACTGAAACAAAAAGATGCCTATGCATCTGTAAATCTGCCTAGAAACAGTTGTCTATAGGCAGATCCTGGAGGGTACTCGGCATTTTGACATAGTTCAAAATTACTTGATTTTCACTTGATCCTCAAGGCCGAACCAGAGAGATGTTCATGTGAGTTTACTTTTATAACGCACTGCTTTGCACCATGAGGATACACTACAATAAAAGTCAGCTGTCACTGGAAGCCTAAATGTTAGCAGGAAATCAAGACTTGGGGGAAATTACAGTACTAATTAAAAAGAGGATAAACTAGGAGGAGGAGAACTATGACGATGTCAGAGCTGATCAAGAGGGACTGCAAATCCTGTGAAATTTTGGAAGCAGTTGAGTTTGAGTAACAGTCATTGCTGACATTGTTGGCACTCTGTATGCAGTGATGTGTTTTTTTACTATTTCTTCTCATTTAGAGTATGACATACTGAATGCAAGTGATAGATTAAAACATTACAATTTCCATGATGTTTTGGTTCCAGTTGCATGTGCAAGGCTGGCGTTGGTATCAGAATGACTTCTTTCATGAAATGACCTTCAACCTTACCACACACAAGCAGGTTCCAGAAGTTTGTTTTGATTTGCAGCCAGGCACCAATTACTCTATTAATATTTCCATGATAGCGTTGAATTTTTCACGTCTCGTTTCCATGACAACGCAAATCAAAGGTAGGTCCTGCCATTTATTTTATGTATTTACAAAAGCACCTGTTGGGGGTTTAAGAGGCTCAAGTGAAACAGCATTGCTGATACCGGTGTTCTGTGGTCGGTTGTCATCCATGCTCAAAATCATTCTTGTTTGCTGTCACAGATTTCATAGTGTTGGCAGTGCAGCAGCAGAATGGGGAGAGAAATGGGAGTGCAGTGTTTTGAAGTGTCATTTTGGCACAGCAGAGACAAGGTAGTTTGATGGGTTAGACACAAGATTGATACGTAGGTGAGCTGGGTTAGATTCCCTGTTCTATTAGAGACTATGTCACTTTTTCAGTATGAGTTCTCTCCATTCTGGTGTGAAGATAATAGCACAACTGCATTTCCTATGGGTATTTGTGACAGCTGAAGTCTGAAAGGATCCACAGTACAGAGATCCTGCAAGTACCTCAGACACAACCTTCATCTCTAATTGCTAGGGTAAAAAACATAAAAGGCATCTGAGCAAGTCTGTTAGGGAGAGTCTTGTCTTTGCTATTTAGTAAGATATTTGTATGGCACTAAAATGCTTAAAAAGCATGTCACTTTTTATATCATGTTTTGTCTAGAACAGTTTTGCACCATCCCTATAATTTCAGGGTTTCTGTATTAGGTTATTACCGTTAACTGTGACATGCGGTGTTCGGCGCTGGTATCGTTCTTCCGAGTGCGGCCTCAAATCAGAATAGGTAGGAAACACGAAAGCTCTCTGAGTGTCTGTAACTGCTGCAGCCACTAGATGGAACCAATTCTCTTCTGACTGCTTAGGAAGGGCTGCGGACTTGAGGTGGTTTTGAAATTGATAGTTTCACAATATTTTGAATAGTACATCTACGTTTTAATCCTCATGAAAGGCAAAACATTTCTAGTTTCCCAAAGCTACTATTTAGGATATACAATGAGCTGGATTAAAAAAAAAAAAAATTACAGCAATGATTGATAATACGTTTCCAGAAGTTTCTTAGCTGTCACTCAAAATTAACATCCGTGAGTACATACAGCTTTGTAAAAATTATTAAACTGTCTCAGAATTTGACTAAGGTAGTCCTTGAATACATACTCTGAGTAAAGGCATAGTCCCTTACTCTGTCATCCTGTTGTATTTCCCAAACTATGCAGGATTGCGTCACGTCACTTACTCAGCAGAGCTTTAGAGAACACCTTGCAGCAGGTGCTGTGTGCAGTGGCATTTCTGCCTTGGCCGCTGGCATGTTTTCCTCTCCGCTGAGCTAGTGCTTAGCAAGTGCACGTGTATAGCCCCAGAAAAGGTCGTTGCGTAAAAGTTAGGTCATTTCCATTTTGAAAGAAGATCCTGCTACACAAGCCATTATATATCTAATAGGTAGTTTTTGCAGTGAACAATAAAAGGTAGGTGCTGCTCTGTCATTAAGAATCTTCATCCAAAACTTGCCACGCAAATATTCCATATTTTGCTTCTTTTAATGGAAGCCAAAAAAATAAAAGTAGGTCTTTTCGCAGTTGAAATTGAGTGAAAATTTAAAACCCAGCAATGGTCATGCTGCAAAGCTCACGAAATAATGATAATTTAAGTAAGAGCTTAAATTTGTTGCTATTTCATCTTATCCAAGATCAAAAGGATACAGTTAAAATAATTCTTCTGGCAGTGTCCCTTTGACTTCGGTGCCTTATGTTTTGGGAATTGCATTATCTGTACAAGCGACTTAGTTCATATAAAACCAATAATTTTAGAGTAGGTGTGTAATTCGCTTCTTCATTTGTCCAGTTATTTTGTAATCGTGTATGTTAAACCAGATGGTTGTGTTTTCATGGTGGGTGGCATGAACTCAATCCAGCTTAAGTCTGAAAAGTATGTTTTGGCTGTGGTGGTTTTCTGACTAAATGGTACTGTATAAATGTAAGATATGCCTTAAGCCAAGAGGCTATAAGGAAGCTGAAACTTACAAAAGTGCTTTACTGTTAATGTACTGAAGATGGCCTCATTTTTTTGTCTAAGGTTTCATGTGGCATCCTTTAACAAATGCACAGTCAGTTGGTCTGGTTCCCCAGCTGGGGGCAAATCCAGATATTGCATCTCATTGATTTCCACACATCTACACACTTTGAGAGTTTGGGAAATCTTAACTGTGGAGTTTCAACTACTTTGAAGACACATGTCCTAGATGATTGGCTGAACACTGCCTAACAGACTTAATTTCCTCACAAGGATAGTCATCTGTCTAAGAAGTCTTACAGCTGCAGAATACAATAAGCACGTAAATGTTAGCAATAACTTTGGATCTTTTTTTAAAAAAGGAAGGTTTGTAAGTGCATGATAAGAAAGCTACTTTTATATCCTGAATATCTATATCTATATTTATATATCCCCTGAATGAGGGTACATTATACCCACAGTATTTCTAAAGAAAAAAAGCAACAAGTCAGGACTTAAAAGCACACTTTTCTCCCTGGCAAGTAGCATCTGTAAAAATAGTTCTGTGCTGCGCACGGAGTTGGTTTTGCCCATCATCTTGTGGATGGTAAATATAATCTAGCAAATGCTTCATGGATCATTGAAATTCTGCTCCTTTCATACTTCCAGTAACAGGCATCTTGCACAGTGTTTTATGACTTCTTAGCTGATTTTAGACAAGCTCTCAGCACCTGTCTACTTGAGATAGGAAATTGAGTCAGTTATGAAAAACGATTAGGCAATGCCTGTAGTTGTCAAACGATGGTAGCAAGATTGTCTTTTGAGTGAGAGGGGTGTTCGTGTCTGCTTCCAAGGAAGGAAAGGAGTGCCTTGTTGGTGTGCTTTCTCATTCGTTATTTCTGTTGTGATCATACATCGCTGTGTTCCTTTAGCTGTTTGAAGATTGCTTACGAGGCATGCTCAGACAAGGCATTCTTCTTAATTTCATTATCTGTTTTGACACATGAGTTTAAGAAGACTGAATTTTGTAACCCCTTTCAAGTGTTTAAAAAATAGAATGATCGAGAAAGAGCTAATGCATTTGCTTTCACTTCTAATATTCTAAATAAGAGTAACTTGTTAATTGAGCTGAATTAAAATACTATTGATATTTGAATCTGTTGGCAAGCTTTGCCTTGGGATAGATTCTTTATGGTGGATGTGACAAAACTGTGGTCTTTGAGGAGCTGGTGAATGCCGACTTAATTACACTGTCTGGCTAGCTTTTTTTGGTTTAGAGCACACCACTGTGACCTAAGACATACTTAGAAGACAGAAAAATTTCTGGACAATAGAAATAGATCTTTTGTGCGTGGATTACTGGATTACATTTCCTTGTAAAATAATTCATACAGATTCACTGATGATTTCTTGTTACTCTTCCTCCTCTCAATTTTTTGCTTAGAATCAAGGTGTATTTTGCATCTGTTCTTTGTTTGCTGTTCATGCATGCTGCCATTTCTTACATATTTGTACATGCACTTTCCGGTGAGTTTGGGTAGTTCTCACCTGACGCGTGTGTACCATAGGCAGTTGTAGTAGTGCCGATGCTTCTCAGCTACTGATCTTTTTGGTTTAATCCAGGATATACCTGCAGGCCACATACTCTTCTGTGTGTGTCCTCTTTCTCTTTGTAAGGACATGTAAATCAGAAAATAGATTCACAAGCAGGGAATCTAGAAAATTATTTGAATTAGGGGAATGAATTCCATCACAGACCATAATTGTCTAGAGCTCTGCACTTTCATCCCTGCATGTGAATAAAGTACAGTACAGATCAGAATGTGGTGGTCTGTAAGTTGTTTGCCTGCCCATGTATGTACACACATGCACATGAAATACACGTTATTGTTCTGCTGTACTATGTGATGGAAAAGTTTTACACTTATTCTTTCTTAAGAGTCTGCATTAAGGTCTGGAAAAGGAGGGAAAATCCAAATTACTTTCCAATGTGGAAGTGAAAGACTGTTGGAGATGTGGTGACCTGACAGCTCTTCCTCTAACAGCACTTCATGTACTTCCAGAGAGACCATTACATTGTGCAGCTTCAGAGCACGAGTATTGTAAGGAATATATATATATATGTATACCGCACACACCCGCTAGTATTTCCATTTTTAAGATACAATCTTTAAAGCACATTTTCTGTAGATGTGGTCTTGATTTATTCATCCTCCTTCCTTCCCTCCCTTCCTTAAGTCATGTCTTTCTCCAAGTTAAAAATCTCTTCCCACTCTTGTATTAATGCAATTATACCGTTATATATATAGTAAACTCCATTCAGATAATCATACAAATGGTAAAAAAACCCTTTTATATTGTATGAATATCTACCCTTTTTCTTTTATTTTTTTAAATTTTAGAGCAGTGTTTTTCACTTCCTTGTTTTAAATTTCAATAAAAGACTTTTTGGACCTAGAGTCCTCGAATAACCATTAAAAAAATCCCTTGTTGCAGGAAATGACGATCATGCAAATGGTGTTATTTCAGCAAAGGATTGTTTCAGTTAGGACTTGGCACTGAGACAAATCTTTTATTGGACTTCCCTGAACTTGGTAAGAGTTGCCATTAGGGTTTGGACTTTATGGTTCAATTCCGTTACAATTTTTAAAGTTCTATCATTAGAACAAAATGATGAAGGGAAGACATAAAGAGGGCTATGCTGGCACCAACCAAAGGTTTATTAGTAAGGTACAAATTACTCAGTTTAACAAGTTTCGTGCATATTGATGTATAGGGTGGAATAGAAATGGATTTGTGCATTCATTTTTGACGTGTCTGTGTAGGAGACTTACAGACTTTCTTGCCTGTGTTATATATCCAAAGATAAGTCCCAGAGTTACAGCTTCAGAAATGTACAAAAGGTCAGACGACAGGAAAGGCATTAAATATTCCTGTTACCATTACTGGAAAATGTCGTAGAAGTGCCCCATCTTCCTTGTGTTGCGGGAGTTTGCCTGCGAAATCCTCGAGCTGCAGCGGTAAATGGTACTGCCAAAAACCAGGGCTTTAAAACAAGAAGTAAACAGCTCATTTGCAGGATTAAAGAAAGAAATGTAGGCATTCCATTGTGAAATGCTTTCGTGATAACTAATAATGAACTGCTTTGAACGTGCTAGAAGACAGTTGAAGACAAAAAGTTCATTTTCTGAAGAGCATGATTTATATAGCCCCAAGCAGGCTTTAGCGCCAGCGCTGAGTCATGGGCCTTTTCCCTGGGCTGTTGCCGTGGTTGGCACTTCCTGGTGTGCACTGCTTTCCTGTAGCCGGCCATCATGTTCAGAGGGGGACTCAGCAGATGCAGAAAATGAGCCTGCATCTGAAATGTCCAAGTGTTAGTACCATAGTGCTCCTACGACAAGCAAGTGCTTAGAGTGGGGCTATCTCTGGGTATACTTGCGTTTTTTGCTATGTTCTCCATTTTCCTGGTGGTGCTGCAGATATGTTGTCTGTTCTGCTGGTGAGGAGATAAAAAACAAAAGGAAAAGCCTTTTACAAAGTCAAGGTGCTAACAGCACCTGAACAGACTGGAAGATCTTGAACTCTTCTCACAGCCCACCTAGTGCAAGTCCTTGTCTCACAAATCAGGATGGTTTGAGTTCGAAGGGACCTTAAATTCAATTGGCTAGGTAAGCTTTGAGGAGGTTCTCTTAGGGTGTTTTGACAAGGACAAAGTTGTTTTTTCTTGCTAGGGATGCTTGTATGCCCTGCTGTGTTTATTTTGGGCATACTGTGCTTAAGTTGTTCCTTTCTCCCATTTCACCTGTTTAAAGCAGAGATTATGTAGGCTTTTAAATTTCCTTTTTGTAGGCTACAAAGAAAAAGTTTTTGGTTTCTCATATGAGGCATTTCCTCCTTTATTTGTAACTTTCTTGTAGTCATCCTCTGCACTGGTGTCATTTAGCTCTGTTGGACTGATGATGGGAGCTTCATACACTGCGAAATGATCACACCTGGGCCTTCTGTGCCTCTGGTGGTACTATTCTAGTGTTACAGAAATCTGTGTCTTAGGCTTTTTAGAGCAGCCTTTTGGTTTGGTTTGGTTTTTGTTTCGTTTTGTTTTTCCTGTTACCATTTTGGTGACTGACTCTCCTTTTGAGGTGTACTAATATGCCTTTCCCCAAAGGAACTTAAAACATAGAGCAAAATAACCTTGTTAGTAGCCTCAAGTGTATTATCTTGTACTTTATACTCGTGAATTTCATTCCAGATCTGTGAAGCAACAGCTCTAAAGCAACAGATTCAGTTCTTTGTGCACAATGTCTCCATCCTGCTTTTGTTTTACAGTGTCTAACACTGAGCAGCAGAGTTCACCTGTACGCACCTGGTTTTTGCACCATACTTGTTAACAGAATGCCAGACTTAAGTACTTATTTTGTTTATTCTCGGAGGAACTCCTCTAACAACCTTCCTGTACCCCAATACTTCTGCTTCCAACATGCTGTATTTTACTAGCTCCCTATTTCCCAGTTATTTACCCACTTTACTTTTTTTCTACTAAGCTCCGTTTTCTCCTGCTAAACTAATGATTTTCTATATGCAGCTATCTGTGCTCCAGCTGCTTGAAAAATCCATGCATCTCAGCAAGATTTTGCCTCATGTGATTTGACATAGGCAAACTTGTGTTGGTTTTCTTCTGTTTTGTCTCCATGACATTGTTCTTTCTAACGGGGCTCTAAAGCCTTGTTTTTCTGCATATAAGCACTGCATTTGTTTTTCAGTCATCAGCAGCTTGATAGACCAGTTTTCCAACAGCTTAGCCATGTGTGTAAACATCTTTGCTAGTTCTTTTTGATTTCTTGGGTAGATAGTATCTGTGCTTCACGCTCTGCCCCTTCAGTTGTGCACACTGAAGGTCTTTTCATTTTTGTTTCCAGGCTGATAGTGGTAATTTCCGTTATCGTCGCGTCAGTTTCTGCTAGGGTGCAGCTGTCATCATCACCATTGAAAGTAGAGGCAGAAGTGTTTGTTCATTTTTGGCCTTGATGCAAATTCACACTAAAACAAATTAGAGCTCTGTACCCATACTGAAATCCAATTTAAGCGGATGGATATCGCTAGCTGACTGTGAGCAGGAACTACGGAAGTTGCCTTCTTGAAAGTGCTTTTGG